GACCCAGCGGAGAAAGGCCTTGGCTGTCTTCTCCTTTGATGCTGTCTGCAAGGGTGGCATCTCTTCTTGTTGGAAGCGTTTCTGGAGGAGCTTAGGACGCCTGCACGAGACAAGAAGCTCATCTGTGCGTCGGAGTCGTGTTCTAAAGCTATTTTCTGCCTGTTGATACCTTCGCTTTATGAATCGTGGTAGTAGTAGGGTTGGCAACGTTCTCCGCACAAGAGGATGAGCGTCGTCAAGTGATTTGAGCCGCGCGGAGAATCTCCATCGCCGTTTTTCCAAGTCCGGGTATGGCGCTCTCGGGGTGGAGGATGGTGATGGGCGTCGTTTTCCAGATGGGCAGTATGGCTCTCATGGACTGGTGTAAGGCCTTGTTCATTCTTTGTATGAGATGTTGATTGCTCGATGGCGTGTCTCTATAGGCTGACTCCATCGCGGTCTGGTGGTGCCCGGGTACCAGGCTTCAGATCCATGCAATAGTACCGGCTCGACACAAGCCATGACGGCACTTCACGGCTTGGGAGGGCCTTCGTGTTGGCGAGACCCCGTAGATGATAGGCGACGGCATGCGCCTTGGCCGCCCACTTTTCGACGTGAACGCGGAACGGTAGCCTGCTGTCACCCACCCGCCGGTAGGCTGGCTCGGGGGGCTTCTCGACATCGCCGTGGCGATAGCCGGCGTGGTCCTGAGGTTGCTGCGAGAGAAGTGCATGACTTCGGTCTTTTTCGGGTCAAACGAAACGCCATTTGCTGCACCCCATCGAACCATCTCGCCGATGGAGCTGGAGGCCGGTGCAGTGGTTTCATCTATTGTGTCGCCTATAGAAAGGATAGCCGTGTCGTCTGCGTAGCCGAAGCGGCCCTGGGGTTGCCTAGTCGGTGGATTGGCTCAGTGTAGAGCAGGAAGAGGATGGGCGATACTGGTGAGCCTTGAGGCAGTCCACACTGGAGAGGAGCGAAGGGCGTGAGGGTTCTTGATACCTCACGCGGGCTGAACGATCCTTCATGAAGGACTCAGCCCATCTGACGAGATGGTCGGGCCAGCCCTGTTCACGGAGACGCAAGACTAGTCTCTTCGCACGGTTGAAGGGGACCTTGGATATCCATCGTGACCAGGGTGGCCACCTTCTTGCGTGCAAATGCTTCTTCGATATCGTGGATCAAGGCGGTCACCAGGTCTGTTGCCGACCTTTGGGGGAGCGCCGCTTTTGAAGGCCCATAGTGAACAGCTGCCCACGCCAAGCGGCGAGCGATCAATCTTTCCAGCCCCTTTCCGAGACAGGAGAGCAAGGAGATGGTCGCCAGCCCCTGGCTTTGTGAGGTCTCGTCGTCCCGGCTTCGCGATCATGACCACCTCCGCCTGCTTGAATGGTTCCGGGTGATGACCCAAGAAGGCACCTTTCGAACAAACACGTACCGACGATGTGCCACCCGGGTTTGAGAAGATTGACGGTGATGCTATCCGCCCCAGGGGAAGTATTGCCTGTATGGATAGTCGCATGCTGTGCCTCGTCTAGGGACTCGGGTGAGAATGTGATCGATCGAGGAGGAGACGTTCGGGTCAATATCGTCATCAGAAGTTCCGCGTTCCAGTAACGCTCCCCGAAGTGCGCTCGCCTTGTCCATCTGAGTTTCGTATACAGCGTCGTCGACCTGCAGGGGAGGCGGCTGGAAGGCCCCGGATTTGCCCCGACGGCTTAAGACAGCACTGCGCTGGAGAAGCTATCGATGAGTTCCCGCCAGTACTTTCGTTTTGCTCGGCGGACCACGCGATGAAAGTCTCTCTTGGCGATCTTAACATCCTGATTGAAGCTAGGGGGTCTCTTGAGGCCGAATGCAGCCGCCGCACAGGCGCACTCTTCTGTCCACCATGGAGCTGGGCAGCCACCTTTCCGTGAGGGCCGACCCACTGCCTTCGCTGCTGATGTTAGCAGATTTACAAGTGAACAATTGTCCAGCTCCGCGGGCGTTGAATCTCTGAGGGGGTCTCTGTGGCTCAAGCTCTACGGTCTCGACGGATCGTTTAAGCTCATCTTCTGTCGTCACTCGAATCTTGCCCGGCTGTAGTGGAGCGGGCTTTATGTTGGGGAGAGTCAAGCTGAGGGTGAAGTGGCGACGGGAATGGTCCTCAACAGTGGCTTTCAGCAAGTGGGATGTTGGCAAAAGCGATTGTGTTCGGGGTTTGGTGGGATATCTAAAGTGTTAAGCAGGTCGATGTCATTCTCTGATGCCCAACCGGCAATCTCTTGGCCGCGGTCCGTAGTCTGCCCTTCTGCGTTGTTCAGTGAAATCGCCAGCGACGAGGCAGCTTCCGGGCGGCCATCGGAGCAGCGTGTCAAGGGCATCCCTTTCGTCGTTCTGGCGGTAGAAGTTGACTACAGTCACGCCATTGATTGTGATCCAGAGAATATCGCGAGTCTGGAACGGTCGTATCTGGTCAGCGAGAAGCCTTGGGTCTCGTCGGACATATGTCATCACTCTAGGTCGAGTATCGTTACTGTCCCAGGACTCTACTGGGTGAGGTGTAGTGGGTCTGTCAAGCAAGGCGTTTTCGTATGGGCTGTCCACGGCTCCTGCAGGAGCACGATGTCATATCGTTCCGAGTCAGCCAGTGCCAGAGCGCAGTCGGGGGTTGCAATGCGACTTAGCGGCTTCCTGTCGTTCTTTCGTGTCTGCGAATATCTATTCCTGGTCATGAGGACGAGTAATGAGTACAATTCGACGCTTTCGTGGCGAGCCTGGTCTAGGATGCTCGGGCTCCTCCATTTCATAACCCGCCCTGGGGGCGGTGGCCACCATATCACGAGTGCTCGTGACGCCGGCCGGGCTCGAGTCTCGAGCGTCTGGACGTTCGTCTGCTGGGGTATCGTCCCTCAGCAGCTCGGTCGTGTCTTGTCGGATTTCTATGTGGGATTCTGGTTGTGAATCCAAGTGACGTTGTCGGTACGTCTCAGGCCCTCTATGTGTTCCCGTTGTTCTTTGCTGAGCCGGCGGAGGACGCCACGCACTTTCTTCGGCCGGGCTGGACACGTACGAAGGCTGGCATCGTGAGGGCCTAAGCAATTGACGCACTGCTCCCATGCAGCGCAGTCGTCTCCAGAGTGGCCAGTCTTGCCACAGCGTTGGCAGACTGGCTGTCTATGGCACTTGCGGGTAAAGTGGTAGCCCCAGCACGTTTCGCACTGCTTGGGTACGTCGCTTTTGTCTACGAGTCTGGCCGCCCGGCTCCCGAAGAGGGACCAGAACCTCTTCTTGGTGGGCTTCAGGAAGGAGACAAGGAGAGTCTTGGTCAAAGGGTTATCCGAGAATTGTCTTCCAGGACGTATATCAACGGGCTTGAGCCCTGTCTGGATTTCTATCTCATCACTGACAACGCTGTCACTATCCACCTCGTTGCCGCGAAAGTCGGTCAGTCTTCTGGGAAAGTCTGAGACCACGTAAGTATGCCATTCCTTGTTTGTTTCTACCGCCGTAGCTCCCAGCTCAGCCGCCCACTCGGCCTGCTTCTCTACGAGAAAATCGCGTGTTTCATGGTCGGCAGTCAGGACTGCCCATCCCGACCTGACCTGGAATACCTGTCGGACCTTGTCCGAGACGGTGCCGAGTTTTTCCCTGATCAGGGTCCGGATGGCATAGCCGCTATGGTCCCTAGCCGGAGCTCCGGCTTCTAGACGGACGAAGACGCGGAGGTCCTGTCGGGGTGGGGCGGCGATGGTGGCTTGTTGCTCTTGGCGATGAGGTGGGCCCGATTGTCGGTGCTGTTGTTGTTGTTGATGATGATGATGCTGGTGGGCTGTGCGGGCGCGGTCAGCGGGGAGCGAGGCGGCGGCGACACTGCTGTAGGTAGGTTTAGAAGCTGGTACATCGCTAGAAAGCTCTCGTTTCCAGGCGTCAAGGACGCTGTCGACAAACTTCTGAGCGAAACGTCGCTGCGGTCCGGAGGTGAATTGCTTGTTGGCTTCTTCAAGCTTGGCGCAGAAGGCCTGGAAGACCATTAGTTTGGCGTCGTACTCTTCCGCGTGTTTACGCGCGAGATCATTGGCCGATTCGATAATAGAGATTGGTTGCTGTTCAGGGGTCGATGCGGGATTGGCACGCTCAGCTCCTTCCGTAGCTGCAGCAGTGGTGGCGGCGTTGAGTGGCGAGGACGGTGTCTGGGCCGTCCGCCCAGGTCTGGGTGAAACACCAATGGGGCTGTTCACGACCGCGGGGCTGTTCTGCAAGAGGGCTGCACGGGCTCTTCGGTTCAGATTAGCGGGAGTGTGGACCCCTAGATCGAAGGGGTCCGGGGCGACAGGCGGGATCGTCGGAGACGAAGCCATCGCTGCGACTTGCGACTGCGCAAAGCGCAGATTGAAATGTTTGTTGTGCACTTGTTAAGGATTTTGGTGTAGACAGGGCCACTTTCTTAACACTTGTATGCCAAGAAAGTGTGATGACGAGGTTGTGATACCTTCAATGATTCATGGATTATGCGTCTATAGGGTAGAGAGCTTGTGAGTGGGATGGCTGAATGGCAAACGCTGGAACAGTTCTGGCTCTTTTTCGCTCTGCTTCTCGTAAACGCGTCATGGGTGAAGCGCCCCGCAAGCACAACCTATCTCGTCAGACGATGGGTAGTGCATCGCTCTATCTCCTCAACCCTGAGTAACTAGTAACCGACAGATCAAGTATTTTTACACTCATTTTCTGACCCTTGCATGGTGGTTCTTTCGCTTCGTGTAGCGCATGGGTTGCAGAGCACGGAATGGCACTACATACAACATCGGCCGGGGGCCACGAAGAAGATCTTTCAGCTTCTTCTTCTTCTTCTTCTTCTACTTCTTCATTGAAAGCCGAGGAGGATAGGTATTCCCAGCCCTCAGAAGGGCATGGGGCGTGCAGGAGACTATCTAGATCTAGGATGATACTATACATATGGAATTATCGTACTAAGAATATTCTGCAGATTATGTCCAATGACTACTGATGTTTGTTTCGTTCTCCCTGTGGCTCCACCGGTTGAGCTCGTGTCCAATCTATCGTTCAGCTTCTCCTCGACCGCAATGCCAACGTTAAGACAAAAGACCGAGAGCATGAGACAGCACTACACGCAGCATCGCTGAAGGGCTATGACAAGGTCGTTCGACAAAAATGCCGATGTTAATGCACGGAGTGAACGTCACAGAATGACCGCCTCATAGTAACCCTATGCGACAAGCGAGAAACGATCAAGCAAAATCAAGATCATATTCAACGAAAGGGTAAGGCCGGCCTATCCATTCAAGATCAAGCCTTTCAAAGCGGAATGTAAAATTTTATCTAGCCTTGACTAATTTCCTCTACTTATATATGTGTGATATAATGCCCTGATTGCATCGGTGATGAGCGATTCGTTCGAGAAGAATGTACCTTTATCTACTGCCGCCTGACGGGCATGAATGACTATTTCAATGATTAGCATCTAGTCAGATGTGAGAATCCTAAATGTTGAGGCGCTAAACTTGAATATGTTAACTACTTCCGGCCACGGTGTTATTCTGCGATTATCCACGTAAGTCCAGCAGAAGCGACAGCGCAAGGCTAAACGTCTATGTATGGCTAAACGCAGCTATCAAAATTAGAGTAGAGCATAAATTCATTCACAGCATAACCTTTCTTCATTGATAGCTGCTGCATCCGCTAGTGTCTCGATCGAAATGAACCACCCCCAGGACGCACATGGACGCTGTCACGGACAAACTATTTTTAAGTCATCAATGCTGAACAACGCCTGTCGTAGACTCTCTCCACAGACTGAAACACCCGCATCTGCTCAGTGAACTAAATGTAAGAAGATGGCTCCTTTGACATTAATCGGCTTAGCCTGGTGCTTTTATGAGTTAGACCAGGATTCTCTTTGGTGTGAGCCCGACTTGGTGTACAATGCTCGTTATCATTATCGACCGCATTGATATTAGTAGTGACACGTCTCCGGCCGAAGCACAAAGTTTCACTGAGATCAATAAATTCCAGGCTCGTGGTGGCCCGAAAGTTTTCGGTGTTGCCATTTCCGGTAACTTTCCTTTCCTAGCATAAATGCACTAATGTTGCCAAACTTCTGTGTCAAACAATATCTTTGACATACTGTCACTCATTCTAGACCGACATTCTAGTAGTTCCATCATGTCCTTAAGTTGGCTCCCTCCTCGTTCCGGTTCACCACCCACTCGCCCTCTATACCGAAGCAAGACAAAGACTGCGCCAAATACATTAATAACCGACGACATCACCCAAACTTGAATCATAAAAAAAGAGAGGAGCAAAGTAGCACCTAGCACGTGGCTTGATTACTCTGACATCAGACCTAAAATCAAGATGATAATCTCGGATTGCACAAAAAAGATCAGTTTCCATTATAAAGAAAAGGCATATTCACTTTCTCGATGGGCACTTGGCATTAGTGCTCGAGCTTGCGCTCACCAATCACTGTTGGTTCAGAATCGTGAGGCATCATGGTGATGAAGTGCATTCCGTCACGGTGAGGTTGAGCGCAGTATTAGTTCCAATAGCGATTATTTATCTTATCCCTGACCACTATAATTTATCTCTTGAATCATCGCGTATCTACATTGTGCATAAACGGTACATACAATCATGGGTTCTAATGCGTTTAATCTCAGTCAGCAACGAGCTAAGGCCAAAACGCCCATCATCCAGATCATCACCTGCATGATAGGACAAAGAGTCGCACCACACACCCGCGAGTCAGGGAAGATTTACAAGAAAATGACCCCAAGGTTCTCCTACTAATTCAGCACAACCTTTGCATCCAAGAACTTCTGAACCGCCTTCATTAATGTAACTTCTTTGCGGGTGCGTTCTTGCATACCAACAAGCCCTTCATGCGTCAAGTCGTGCGACAGAACTTTCTTGAGCTGATTCGGCTTTGTTCTCATAACGTGACCGCAGCTTTTCAAGTGCTGCTTGATTTATGTCTATTAGTTCGTTGAGTGCTTCTTGGAACAATGCAAGAGATGTAATATTATTGCTCGTATCTTTGGGCCTCGCAGAAGTCCCGTTGCCAGGGCTAGGTGGCATTGTGCTAGATAAACGTGACATGGATATGACTGCATCATTTGAAAACGAGGTCGTATTAGTACAATTTGGTCTCGCAGTGGAGGGTTCAATTAGCCTACAGTTCTGATGTGTGCGTTCCCCCTCAAGGCCATGTCCAACAGAGGCTTTACAGATTCAGGGTTTTGCGATCGGAGCAGGTTGAACTTGTCTTGTGGCAGTTATCATCTAGCTTTCAGTAAGACAGATATGAACATGTCTCAGAATGTGCTAAGCCATTAATATAGATAGGGAGAGTCAGTTGACGGTGGATCGAGACAGCAATACCATCGTATTTTATCGAGCCATTTAGTGGTACATTACACAATTACCAAATACGAGATCGAGTAGTGTGGAGCACACGAGAATTTGCGCGCAGTTGAGCAGCACGCTATGCCTATCCGAGCGCATCGCCTTCCAAACCTGGCCAGCTGTTGTCAAAACATCATTAATTCCGACCAGAATAGATCCTGCTGGTATTTAATGATTGCGGGGATCGAGATCTCTATTTGTGATGCCTGCGCCAGATGAGCCCAGCCTGTTTCTTCAACCGGCATTAGTATTTTTTTCTTAACCATGGTTCGTCTTGCTGAACTCGAAGCGATTATGTCGCAAATAACGTGTTTCGAACTATGTACTGCTTGTACTGAACTGAGGACAGGTTATCAGTTTGAGGGATCAATTTTATTCTGCATAGGAGTCATGAGTCATACAGATTCTGTAGCTAGGCGAACCGATCACACGCTAGCTAAGTCTGGGCGCTCTTGAGTCATCCGCTCGTATCAGTGGTCACGAGTCTAACCCCTTACGATCAAGGTTCAGACTAAGTCACGAACCGGCAATGCTAGTACATTAGTCGCGTAATTTGGCGCAAGCTGCCACACATATCTCTGCGCTTATCATAGACTGATTATTCCATAACGAACAAGGGTTTAAAATAACCAAATTTACAAGCACGAATGCAATATTTGTTCATCCCAGCCTTTGAAGCCTAGCCTGGAGGATAACTTTTGCCACTGAAAATGGTACGGCGTTAGCGCCACTTCATTTGAGTACGAGACATACCTCATGTTACCAAGAAATATTTTTTTAAGCTGCTTTCATTTTCTTAAGCGGGCCATTTTTCTTAATTTCGTACACTCCAACTTCAGCACGCGATCACTCCCACCACGACCGTGCCAAATCTCAATGGTGCGTCTCGTATTAATTGTTCTTGCAATGGACGCAGGGCGTATAACATCGATATTAAGAATTTGACATCTCGTAAAGTCGTTCAAGTTCCCACGAACAAAGCTTTCAAGCTAAAATCGCTGGAAGACCTTCAAATGCTGATGCACATAGCTCATAGCGGTTTGAATCAAGTTTAAATTGTTTATGTTATACCAGAACCACAACAGCGCGTGTTTCCTATGTCCGATAGCGTACGATATTACGCCAGATATGGTAGGTGGGATTGGTACCAATCCGCCTGTTGACCGCCAAACATATGTAATAGTATGAATAAAAAATCCGTACAGCGAATGATTGAAGAAGATACTTATATAGAATTAGAAGAGGAAAGATAGATGGGAGAATAAAGGTGGCAATACTATACGATTATATCACGAGTCAGCTCACGAAAATTTATAACCCTAATTCGAGAGACTAGAATGAAAGCCTGTCAGGCGGGATATCAACACGTGTGTCTTAGGTCCGGAGATTTTTGCGAAGGTGGGAAGGAATGACCGAGATGGACAACCTGGCGATGAGAGTCTATGACGTTGATTTAGTACAAGCTCTTTTGTCCAAGGATGGAATCGAGAATACCCACAAACACCATCGCTTTTTGGAACCAAGATATACGACCACAGTGCATGTCTAACTTCACTGACAATTTTAAAAATGCCTCTATGTTTTTGATTCCTAAGTCGGGAGCAAGGGTCAGCATTGCAGTCGGTACAGTGGCAGTTCTTGGGTGGCGGAGAAGCTCTGACTCTGGAAGTTCGATTGGGAAGGGCTATAATTTTGAGTCGTTATCAGCCCCTTAAACGTAAAGGGTTCAGGTTCATATGCCCTCCCAAGAATAGTATTCCTTCAATACGAAGTCAGTCATTATGTGCTGTGGAAGACCGCCTTGCTCTCACATCTCTTTCGCTACCTCTCACCTAAAGCCGCTAAAATATCTGCGACACTTGTTCGACTTGAGAAGAACGACAAGAAGCAAAAGATAGAATGTTTAAAAGATAAATCTCAGTGAAAACATAACACATTATCAGCTACTATGATCACCCTCAGTGGCCTAAATACTATTCTGAAAGGTTCTTGCATCATGCCCAGTCTTTCCACGAGCCCCACAGCGCCGAACCCTCGGCAGCGCCGAATTTCCCTGACCACGACTTCTCGATAATCCGGTCATTATCTGCGTATCTACATCTATCTGGTCAATTAAATCCTGACCTTCCTGCATAGTCAGGCTCCCTCTTGTCTGCAGAAGGATCAGTTTTGCCGCACGCCGCCGGGTTCGTATCTCATTTGACCGTCGAGGCTCTTGGCCCTTAGCCTCTAATAAGGCAGTCTTATGTATATTTTCTCTTTATTACCTTAGTAAGAGAGTGGATAGTCTCAAGAATTGACTCTGGAGAGCTACTTTGACGTCTTCTGATTCGTTTGGTAAGGTACTTAGGCTGAGATCTAGCCTCAAGAACTGTTCTTGGGGTCCTTGAGGTCCAAGGTTGAGCTTGCCGGACCTCCTCCTCAATAGGCACTGGAGTCCATAGCTGCACATCAAGCTTTGAGACCACAGATTCTGGATTGGAAACAAGCCCAGCTTCTTTGAAAACATTCTTAAGATTTTCTTTACTAATAGCAACTTAAAAAGCGGTATAAAAGGCCGGGAAAAGCTCGGTCTTAGGAACATAGATTATAGACCTTTCAGATTAAATGCTCTATCTCTCAACCATATGCCTTTTTTAACGACTCAAAGCACCCGACGTCAAGGAGCGGAAGTGGATGGGAAGCATGGGTGGTGTATAGAGCGTAAGAAAATTGTTATCTCACAATATATCTCGAAGTCGGCCAAGTGGTGGCTTTCGTGACCATCAAAGATTAAAAGACGATAGGCAGCGACTGATCGGTTACTTGTGTGTCGATCAAAGTGCCTGGTCCGTAGAGACCAGTCTAATTATCTTTCCAGCCATTTTGGTTTGTAGCAATAACACAATCGCCGAAGAGGCTGCCTTCTCCATACCAAATGGCAAGCCGGTATTGGCCTGCGACCACGATGCATGAATCGATTGCTTGACCTTCTGCATTGATCGTTTGAATTGCTGTAGCCGATTCACGAAAATGGTAGCCCAGCGCTTGCCAAGTGGTGACGCGTTGCGATTGCTTAGTAGTCGATTTGCCACCTTTTTAACATCACGATGCTAGAAAGGGGTCCTCGCGAATCTAAGTCAAGGATATACTAGACTATAAGCTGTTCGTCTAGATCATTCAATTTTCGTTAGTTCAGAACACAATCACTACAAGCCTATACTCTATGTATCTTGACAGAAAGCCGCTGTTGGTTAATACAATAGATCTTTGCGGCTCGTCACAGATTTGATTTTAGGTCTCCCTGATACGCTTGAAATGCAAGTAGTATATTTGTGTCAGTGTTAGACTGTGACACAACTTTTGGTTGAGAATTAATAATGTAGGGAGGAAAAGTAGGCATTTCCTTTCGGAAGAGGGAGTTATAAATCATATGAGATTTGCTACACTGCAGCTTGGAAGATGATTTGTGCGCACTTGGTTTGGGTCGTCTCTTTCAAAGCCTCCCTGTCACAAAAGGGAACACCGTTTCTAAGCGGTTAGCCTCTAGTAGCCTTACGATCTTGAACTAACGCATGAGCCTGAAATCAGACAAATGAGCTTTATGGTGAGATGTGGTATCTGTAAAAAAAAACTTTCCGCAAAGTTGGAAGGATAACAGAATCATGAGTTAGCGGCTGCTTGTCCTAAAATTGATACTATTGGAAAGATGGACGGGTTCTGGAACACAAGGGTTTTAAGACTTCAGTGGTATTCGTATGTGGAGGCTTATTGGAGCCAAGGTTGTGGAAAGGATGAAGACATCTGTGTTCTCATAAGTATGAAAATTGCAAAAAAGAATCATCGTCATTGGAATTATTGATTCATACATTTTAGGCTCAAAGAGTGTGATTGATCTAGTCGACCACCAATCTGATCAGCATTATCAACGGTCAGTCCAGGTCGTGTAAGTTTTAACACTTCTTCACTCGAGAAATGCTGGTCCGAAAGTCGTCCGTACCTCTCTGGAGAGGTGTGAATATCACGAAGTTGAGTCCTTATCTCATGGATGCTCGACCTTTGAGTATCCAGACAAGGCAGCAGTCGCTGACTCACCAATAATCATTAGGGTATCTCAAGAGTTCGACAACATCAGCTGTCTGCCCATGCTTCACCAGGCGCCACCAAATTCGAACCAGTGTCAATACCATTTTCCAATAATTGCCGATCACCGGGTGGAATAAAGGGTTCGTGAACTTAAATTTCCAGATGACTGGTTCTGATGTTCCTACGCAAACGAAGGACCCGCGCCGGGTTGCTAATCACACCTTGTTTTGTTGCAATCAGGGGGCGGGGGCGCGAAGCACATGGTTTCGTTTGCGCAGGCCAGATGGTGCTGGATTGGCAGTATGTTACAGCTTACCAGGGAATAGAATGCCAGGGCTATGTAGTTCTGGAACACAGTCGCCTTTCGGGAGAACACGCTTCCAATATTTGATTGAGCATTAGAGAGCTGCAGAGAGGGCGTGGTTTGTTGATAATATTCATCCTTTCAATTCTAGGACCTTGCAAATATACCTTGGGTGTTGTCGAATGAAGGTCCTCCTTGTGTGAAGAACAGACGGTCAAGTGACCTGTTTGTTGTCGGGCGAATGGAGGCGTGGATTTGCCTTAGACTGCATAGCGCCGCGCTCCTACTCTAATACCAAGGCTAGCACAGCAAAAAATAACTGGCTCTTATACCCCTGGTTCTCCATGACCCGCCGCCTCAAAACCTGAGAAACGCCTTGCCAGTGGAATTGTCGCATCCCAAAAATCCCGAGCTCTCTTTGAATGTGGATGCGGAGGCATCCAGCCAAGAGCAATAGGCGGGGTAAATCTCTTCAGGGCATGCAGCGTCCGTAATCCCGCAAGCTAACTGAAGTTAGCGTTGTGGAAAAGTGCCAGGCCGGGGTTCCATGATTGTTGGGCATGGAAGGCAAAAGACTGCGATAGTACTAACCTTTAAAGGCCAAGAGCCTTCAAACCAAACCGAAACGCGCAAGGCATCAATATTAATCCGTGCTGTTTCTTCCTTTCCCCCTTTCCTCATCGCATTCCTCTCCCTCTTGACCTCAAATCTTGACTTAAGCTTGGCTATTATCTTTTGTGTCTAGCTGTCGTCATATTTCGCCCTGGACCAACTGTCGAGACCAACGACGGTGAGATTTGGTATTAGACATCACCAGCAGCCTCTCGTCTCTGCATTCAATTTCTCCTAGACCTTCAGCTCGTAGAATTGGTCTTTATTCCCCTCTCTTCCCCATCCTGGCGCCGATCAGCTACTCATCTTGACAATACTTGACTTGATTGAAGTTTAGGACTGCTTCAGTCTACCAATTCTTACAAGACATCTATATTCGTCCTAAATCTAGAGCAACTCACCACCAATTCGCCAAAACATCTGTAGCACCGACCTCGTGACTGACTTTGTGATCATTCGTTTATCTATTATTCGTCACCACACAACTGCCACTACAACCATGTTGCTGTACACCAGGCTTGCACCACCCAAGGCCCCTATCAAGCGCTCACGCGCAGGTATGTCGAACAAATAATCTTCTGGAAGCATTCTGTTCCACATCGCAATGTTCCCCACGGTCTAGTTTAAAACGAATATGGCTAACTCGGACATGTTTTTTTGTCGCACAGCATGCAATTATTGGTGAGTACAACGTCCTTGTCTTCAACTTGACCAGCAATTGACTAATAGTCTTGTGACAGCAAAGAAAAGGTACACAGCTCATCTGCACGCGCACTTGTTGTCATACTCATTACTTTAATATAGAAGAAGAAATGTGATGAGACTCGACCTGCATGCTCCCGATGCCAAGAACGCAGTCAGGAGTGCATTTACAAACCTATCCCCCGCCGGCAGAGGCGTAAGGGCGAATCGATTGTTCCGTGCTCGCCGTTCGACACCAATTCTTACTCGAGCTCAGGCAGGGCCAAGAACGTTTTAGATGTGCATGCTGCTTCCAAATGGAACGACGATGTGCATGGTAAATCAGCTAACGAAGATTTGCTCGACGACACTACTGTTACGACCCAGCCACCAACACTCAGCACATCTCTTGTCAATCACACCGCCAGCATATCCGCTGATCAATCGGATTGGGTATCTACGAACATTCCTGTCATCTCACCGCTCGAGTCGGTCGACTTTCAATTGCCTGCGTTTGACGATCCCAAGTTTTTGGCCGAGCATGTCAAGAATGCAGAGGAGGGCGATATCGAAAAGACCTTTCGACGAGAGTCTATCGCCATAACTATTCCCAAAACTACATATGCCAGCGCCTGCGCTAATGCATATGCAACCCCAAGCCCATCACTAGCCATGATTATGCCTATTCCAACACAATCTCCCTGGTTTGAGCTTTGCGCTCCAGTATTCTCAGAATTTTCTGAACGTAACAACCGTCGCGTACTTTTCGATCATTTCTACAACGTTTTGTCCCGTCGCATCGTTTTCCACGAAGAGAGCGGCAATCCTTTCCAGCAGCTTATTCTTCCCTTGTGTTACACTAGCTTCGTTGTCACCAATGCTGTCTACGCTTTGGCGAGTGCTCATCTTGAGCATCGTGGGGTTAGAAATGACGAGAACAGCATCTATTTCCACAATAGAGCCATTCAAGGTCTAGCGCGCCTGATTCAGAAGGGAACAGGTGCAGGTAAAAATGAATTGTTGGCTGCCGTCATGCTTTTGGTGTATTATGAAGCGGCAAGTCTTGACAGATACAGATGTCAGGTGTTTCTACTGACGGTTTCATAGTTGGTACAAAAGGACCGATCTAATATCGTGGATGTCCATCTCAAAGGCGCTATGGCCGTCATGAGTAAGTATGAAACTACCATCGATCCTACAGGCATCTTTTTGGAGAAGGTAGGTTGCCCTTCGGCAAATTACCGAGCAACTCACTGATGGTCCTAGGCGTTTCGTTTCTACGATGTGATTGCAGCACTATCTTTCGGTACTGTTCCTTTGTCTAGTACCCGCGATATCGACTACCCTACGCCATCCGACTCTTTGGAGTCTAACGGTGCTACGTCGCCCCTTAATAGCGTCGACACTCTACTTGGCATGGCCACTTCCTTATGGCCAATCATTCACCGACTCTCTAGTCTATTGGCACTCAAAGACGAGCTTAACGTTGCTGTCGTGAACGAAGAAGTTTCAAAGGTCTCGGTTCTCCGGACTGAGTTCCAGATATCGGCAACGGGCATTGAGTCGGCGCTTGAGGACTGGCGCCCTACAGTGCCCGAAAACTCAGTTCTGAACCAGAACCTTGAAGAGCTGAGTCCTGAGCAATCTGCAGAAAGGGGTTACCTCCAGAGCATTCTCAGTAACGCTTTGTCTTACCGCCACTCTGCTTTCGTCTACCTTTACCGCACCATTTATGGCTACCCACGGAGGCACGTACTTGTACAACGCCATGCGCACAAGAGTCTTACTCACTGCATTGGAACTGTTAGTAACACTGGTCCTACGAGTGCGCTTCTGTGGCCGCTTTTTGTTGCGTCTTGCGAGGCCGCTACACTCGCTGATCGCGAGCTTGCACACCAGGTATTCATGGCGATCAACCGCCGGCAAGGCATGGCGAATATTGACCGTGCTTGGACTATTGTGCAGGAGGTCTGGCAACGCGTTGACAAGGGAAGCATGCAGCAGCCGCAGGAAGAGGCAACGCTGTTGGATGTCAGAGGCGAAGGTGATCTCTGGAGAGGAGTGAGCGCAGACATGGGTGTGACTATTGTTTTCGGGTAAATGGAAAGGGAAACACGGACGCATGTTGATTCAGCGATGAATCACAATCAAATACTTTTGGAAATGAAAAGGATCGGAAAGCGTTGTGACAGATGCGTTACTTAGGAGCGCTGGGAGCACTTCCTGGCGTTGATGCGTCGCTGGAGTTATTCAGTAATTAGTAATGAAGCTATCTGGCTGATAGTTAGCTGTACATGAATATCTGAACGCTGCGAGTTGTATTATGACTAACTAGGCGTGAAGTGAGTTCATAGATATTGAGAGTCAGGCCTGCTACGTGAATCTCCGCGTGATTTACTACTGATTCAAAGACTGACAGCTCCATTTTACGAGATGGTGATACTGCAGGCGGTGTAGAACGATCCGCATGAGTGTCATTGACGTTGAGTCGCTAAATCGAAGAGATTGTTTTATGGTAAAGTCAGCAATAACTCAGCTTTTATCTACTCGACGCGTGATTCGGGGAGGCTATCGGATCATGGGTATGTCAACTGCCTAGGGGTGTGGCTTGCATTCTCATCCTTTAACACAAAATAACCAGATCGTCAGATCGTAGAGAGTGAAAGACAGCAGCAATTATACAAGGCATATGTTTAAATTGACCTGTAGAACAAACCGCGCCTTTAGATGATGCACCTGTATTTGAGATACAGCAGAACATCGTCGTGGGTTCTGCAGTACAGTTGATACTTGCCTGGCTGCACCGAAGTCGATCTGATGTTGGAGAAGGTCAGGCTGAGCGTGAAGTGGTCAGAGCTGACGGCGAGATGGTCCTCGCAGATAGCTTCAGCAAGTGGTATGTTAGTAAAGGCAAGATCGATTGTGTTGCCGCACGGGTTTGTTGGAATATCTAAAGTGTTGAGAAGGCCGAGGTCATTCTCAGACACCCATCCTGCTATCTCTTGGCGGCGGTTCGTAGTTTGGCCTGTTTGCCAGCTACGATGTCTGGCGTTGAAATCGCCAGCAACAAGACAGCGTTCCGGGACAGGCCATCGAAGTAGCGTGTTCAGGGTGTCACTCTCGTCGTTTTGGCAATAGAAGTTGACTATTGTCATGCTGTTGACCGTAGGCCAGAGAATGTCTCGGGTCTGAAAAGGCCGGATCTGGTCAGCAACAAGTCTTGGGTCTCGTCGGACATATGTCATCACTCTAGGCCGAGTGTCGTTGCCGTTCTCCATGTCGACCGGCGCAAATGTGTCATATGCAGGGTGAGTCTGAGTTAGATTGCGGGTCTCTGTGTGAGCTGTCCACGGCTCTTGCAAGAGCACAACGTCATATTGTTCCGAGTCGGCCAGCGCCAGGGTGCAGTCGTGTGCTGGAGGGATTTTGCCGACGTTAGCCTGGAAGATCCTGAGCGACTTCCTGTCGTTCTTTCGTTTGAGAATATCTATTCCTGGCCATGCGAGCGATTAATGAGAACTATTCGGCGCTTTCGCGGTGAGCCTGGTCTGGGCTGTTCGGGTTTCTCCTCTGCTCCATAGCCAGCATGAGGGGTCGTGGCTACCATGATGCACGAATGTGCTCCTGATACAGCTGGGCTGGGAGCACGAGCGTTCGGCTGTTCTTGTGATGTGACATCCACGGTTTGTCGCTCAGCCATGCCCTTCAGGGCTTCCTGATGCGATCCCGACTGTGGTTCTGGGTGTCGTTGTCGGTATGTCTCCGCGCCTACGGTCCGAACATGCTTTCGTTGCTCTTTAGCGAGTCGGTGGAGCACGCCGTGCACTGTCTTTGGCCGAGCTGGGCACCTACGGAAGTTGGTCTGGTGGGGGCCTAAGCAGTTGACGCACTGTTCTGGTGCGATGCAATCGTCTCCAAGATGGCCAGCCTCACCACAGCGTCGGCGAACTGGCTGTCTGTGACAATTGCGGGCAAAGTGGTAGCCCCAGCACGTCTCGCAATGTCTGGGTCGGTCGGTTTTGTCGACGAGTCTGGCTGCGCTGCTGCCAAAGAGCGACCATAATCTCTTTGTGGGCTTCAGGAAAGACACAAGCAGGGCCTTGGTCAAGGGGTTGTCCGAGAATTGTCTCCTGGTACGTACATCAATGGGCTTGAGCCCAGTCTGGATTTCTATCTCGTCGCTGACGGCGCTGTCACTATCCACCTCATTGCCGTAAATGCCAGTCAGCCTTGTAGGAACGTCTGAGATCACAAAGGTGAACCATTCCTTGTTCGTTTCTACTGCTATAGGTCTTAACGTTAGTTCAGCAGCCCACTCAGCTTGCTTTTCCACCAGAAAGTCGCGTGTTGCCGAGTCGGCAGCCAGGACGGCCTATCCCGATCTGACCTGGAACACCTGCCGGATCTTGTCTGAGACGGCACCGAGCTTCTCCCTGATCAGAGTCCGGATTGCATAGCCACTGTGGGCCCTGGCCGGAGCTCCGGCTTCTAGACGGATAAAGGCGCGGAGGTCTCGTCGGGGTGGATCTGTTTGCCGACGTTCATGTTGTCGTTGTTGTTGTCTGTGGGTCAGACGGTCATCGTTAGTGGGAGGTGCGGCAGCGGCCACGCTGCTGTATGTAGGCTTAGAGGTCGCGGGCCCAGAGCAGGAGAGCTCTCGCTTCCAAAAACCGAGGAAATCTTGAGCAAATTGCTGAGCGAAACGTCGTTGCGGTCCGGTGACGAATTGCTGGGCCGCTTCCTCAAACTTGACACAAAAGGCCTGAAAAACCACCAACTTTGTGTTGTGCTCTTCAACGCGTTCTCGAGCGAGATTGGAATGTTTGTTGTGCACGTGTTAAGGATTTACGTGTAGACAGGGCCACTTTCTTAACACTTGTATGCCAAGAAAGTTTGATGACAAAGGAAGGCGAATGTGTGTTGAAGACTGCTGCCGAAATTTTCTCCCTTGACCACAGCCAAATCTATGCAGATATCAACTCGAGGCTCCATGACCGTCAAAGATTCGACGAAAGCTAAGCATTAGACACACTAATTAATATCTCGACCCTGCATTGATTGGATGTAATCACCATATTCACTACCATGCAGCTTTGACTAGGCCTCTTCGAGGATAACTATCACTGAACCAATCTGGGCATAGGCATCAAAGTTCTTACTCCTCTTCCTTCTAACACACTAGAATCGTCCACAGGTTCCAAGATGAAGGCAAATATTCATACCAAAATCAGAGTCAGGGAGTGACGAGGAGAGGAAAGAAGTATTCGCCATCTTCATTACGTAGCCATGCTCTCGCTAGGGTTGTGACAGTTTACCAGTGGGAATTTCTTTCGGACACCACATTGAACCACTCTAAACTGGTACTCTGCCGCCCAGATCTTGACGTCGGGGCTACCTATAAAGGAGGTTAAGCCCAGACGCCTTGGTGGCAATCGAAGCCATCGCAAAGGTCTCCTTCGTCTCCCTACTATCAGCTCTCATTGTCAAGGGACAAACAATCCACTTGCATCTTTTCAATATTTGTCTGAGCGACAAGACGGCGGTGTCCCTCCCCATTTGGCACAAAGCGCGCAAGATCCAATTTCCTAAGCCTTCTCGCATGCCTGACGAGGTAGTCTTCCAGCTCGCGCTCCTGGCATCCCACCCCCACGAGAGTGAATCTCCTCAGCTGAGGAATAGTGACGTTGCCAAGTATGCCAGTAGATCTCTTGGTTGGAGTTTCTCTGTAAGTTTCAGGAACGAAATCAGACGGTGCCGGAATCTGGCGAAGAGATTTGTCGAGGCTTATTTTGTTGCTCAACTTTTTATTAATGCAGAGGTGAAAGCAGCAAATATTGGTAACAAGAGGACATTTCAGCTGGGGTGGTAGCGGAATATGGCTAATGCAATGGGAATTTCGAGTAAGTAACCGGGTGGAAATATTGAGTCCTCCAACCTGTAGCTTACAAGCTGCTACAGTAAGAAGAATGAATGGTGTAATGCTCCGGATGAATTCGGAGCTAGCCCCCAACTCTGCCAACGGAGGTGATCTCTGGGGATTTGGCAATTTTTGGAAAAGTGAATGTGCGAAGCTGTGGATAATGAGCTTCCCTGAAGTGGTCGCGAGGCGAGGAACCGCTGAAATAGTGGCGAGTTCTACTAGAACTCGTTTCTCAGCCGCGGCATAACGGGTATCCGAATAAAAGCAACGAGCAAAGAGGGAGTGCGCTAGACTATTCAGAAATCTGCACGTCAGTCGAACACGGAAGACATCTTCCCGTAGGAGATTTGAAAATATCATGGAGATCATCTCAGGCGGTGGGGAGATCAAAGAAGGAGCCATTCTGTTGTCTAGCCATTTGCTGCTGGCATTTGAAATGTAAAGGGATTAAAAAGAAAGGACTCTATGCGTTTCCACGGGATAGCGTGAATTTATGATGACTTGTTTAACTAAATAGCTCTTGCATTAATAGGGGCGAGAAAAATTGCTGTCAGTTGATTGCTTTATCCGTACTAGCGGTTTATCGAACAATGTCAGTAAGTTCAGTAATGGGACCCGTCACGCGTCACGTCGGTCCTCAGCAAGGCTATCTGTCATGGCTCAGTATACATATGAATCTCCTATTATAAGGTTCTATCGACACTATAGCCAAGTTTTGTAGTTATTGTTTTCTCATGGCCCATATAGAATAGTCACTCATTGATTACGGTTCTCTATAGGCTTATATTTATGCCTTTGTTAGCAACAGTGGCGAAGAGTAGCAGCAACTCTGTCATAACATAAAGCGCGAATCATGTAGAGAGCTCACCGTCGAGATAGTGGTGTTTTCTTAAGCCAGTAAAGGCCTGTGTTGCACTGGTAGACTGGCTCTCATCATTGATGTCAGCTTACTATCGTCTTATATGACACACTTTGGTAAAGCCATTTCTGATCGTCGCAGCTTTCAACAGATTGGGAATTGATGATAAAATTAAGGCTGAAAGAGGAGTAACCAATTACCGCGGGATGGCGTATTCAATGCCCCTACTCTCGACTCTATAGAGGGTATTATCCAGGCAAGACTATAGCAGAATAGCCTCTGAACCTGCACACTACACACGGCTCCTGCCGAATGTCTCGTTTTGCCGGCGATACATAATTATAAAAGTGGGTGACTAACCAAACGATCACACTTGAGGGCCATCACATTTGGCACATGCCAGGAAGGTTGCCATATAGGAAGAGACAGGTGTAGTATGTAGAGTACTAGTGGAGGTTTAGGGTTGAGGGATACCCAGCCTTACTTTTGGAAATGTCCTTCTCTTGGACGTAATGCATAATGTATAGTCAGCGATGATCTCCCACTATTATTGTATAGGAGGGAATACGTAGAGGGCAGGCATTAAGCACGATGTGGTTGCATCATCTGGGCCCAATGGAGCAACATCTCAGCCTGCCTGATTTTGGCCGTGTATCAGTACAAAGAATGCTTTGTTATTTACTTGGTTTTACCCCCTGCTGCGCTGTTACGAAGGGAAGTAGGTACGATGTGGATAGCATTAGTCTTTTCTTACATGACAATTCACAACTTTGTAGAGGATTGGTAAGAATATCCAATTGCCCCAGCAAGATCTTAGCAAAATCCCTCTAGGCTGGGCTGCGCAACTTTGGGTGATGAGAATCCTTCGCAGGGTAAATTGGGAGAACTGTTACAAAGAGCGGTGCCTATTGTGTTCGCTACTGAAGACTGCTTTGCTTTATATTTCTTAGTTCTTAGAATACCTAATATAATTACTGTTTTGGTAATTTTGCTTTCTGGCATTCTTTGCACCTATATATTCTTTTTCTTTGAATGCTGTTTAACCCCATCAACGCATGGTACTCTGGCTCCTGCGAACTGCTTACTGTCTCTTATTCGTATGCTGTGCTCTCTCCTTCGATCCTCGTATAGATTGTCATAGTGTTTTTTACATGGATCGCAATCCCCTGCCTTGTTCTTAGCATTTGAGTATTGAGCAGACTGCAGAACGGGCCGGTCTTGTCTATCCTCAGAAGCGGTGGTCCTTTGGCTCGAGTTCGCCAAAGTGCTCTTTGCAACTTGCCCGCCATTGTGCGTGCCATTATTTGCTGGCGGTTGAACAGTGTAGTCGTGTTCGTTGACGAGATGAAGATTGAAATCTGTCTGGGCCACCTCTAAACCACATTCAAAGCATGTGACTGGTTTGTGATGTTCGTCTATGTGGATTTGGACTTCTGGTTCAGCAATCACATCGTCACAGAAGCAGCATTTCTGCCAACCATGACTGTCTTGGAGGTGATGGCATATCTGCTGTTGTTCGGAAGTCATTGCACTCTGAACATCTCATCATTATGCAATGATATTCCATAATGTGTTCTTTAAGCAACTCAGGGAGGAGAGGATACGTTGCGCAAAACAAACAATCTTTCATGCTATGTTTCTCACGTAAATGGTCATCATATGCATGTTCGATGACCATTGATGAGCATTCGTCGCAATATCGCATCTCATGCTCTTTCTCATGGTCAGCAAGAGCCGTGTCGTTGTCTGCAAGATAGTCGCAATAAGGGCATTTCTCCTATGAATGGTCATAGAGTAGGTGACGACGATAGGCCCACTCTTCAATGATGCATTTGCACTGCAGGCATTCTTTCCAGACATGCTGGCGCATGATATGGTCGAAATCAGCGCCAGGACTGCACTCGTCACATTCCCGATGTTTGTGTTCCATGATCAGATGGAAATCAACCTCGCTACTTGCCATCGACTTCTGACAGATAGGGCATACTCGTTGTCCATGAAAGCTACTTGCGTGGTCGGCAAAGTTTTCAGACGAAGGATCGCAACAGTCCCAACATTGAAGTCCATGCTGATACTGGAGATGTTCTTTCATGCCACTAAGAAATCGATAGTTGTGGCAAATAAGCATGGCAGCCATTCATGTTGTTTTGCTTCTTTAAGATGTCGAAAAAGCCTCCTGTGATTTGCCAAGTTCGAGCCTTCAGGACATTCAGGACACTCAGGACATCACCTCCCATATGGTCTGTTTCAATGTGGGCGATTAGGCTGAATTTTGCCACTAGAGTTGGGCAGAATGGGCATTCATGGTGACCTCGGTGCTGTCCAATCATGGAGACTGGCATTGTTTCCTGACATATTGGACATTCATGGTGTTGATGAGCCTCCTCAAGGTGACGCAGGCGAGCTTCCAAGTCAATCGGCCGCCGGCAATGTTGACAGAGAATTTGTTCATGCTCACCTACACGGGACCCTAAAGCGCTCTGTTTCATAACCATAGAGCACTCTTTACAGTCGACAAATTCTGAATTAATATTTGGCGTTACAAAAGGATTTTCCTTACTAGAGTCGGATGTCTGAGGCCAATGGTAGAATTCTCCAATGAGCGAATTCAGGTCTCCGCCAGCTAGGCATTTTTCAAGACAATCCTTTGCATCGACGATATGACGGACCTGGGGAAATCGACTTCGGGTCTCAAGAGAACAATGATCTGGGTGACGCAACAACATTGCTGCCCGGTGGGCGGAGCGTATGCGCCTTTTGTCGACAATGCTTGTAGTCGACATGCTAATACCTAATGCGTCAAAAGGGTTGAATATTATATTGCTATCCATGATTAATGAAACGTGAAGGTGAAAGACAATAAGTCGAACTGATTGAGCAGGTGGAGTTAAGGTGGTGGAATTGAGGTGGTGGAATTGAAGGTGGTGAGACTTATCTATATATGCTGCACGTGCACAGTGGTGTTCATTTGCGGAGACAGGAAAGACAGACCCAGGTTGAGAGACAGTTCTGCGTCATTCTGAATCAGAAGAAGTGTCGTTGGTTGGGAGAAAATTTGTGGTGGAGACTGCCCGTCATGGCGGATCCAATAGCTGCCGAGATCGTGGTGGAGCAGGATGACCCCCCCTTTTCGACGCCAAAGAGACCAAGTCAAGTGGTGAGGCAAAGTCCGAGACACCGCCCGACAACTCGAAGATACCGCCAAAGAAACGCGAAAAACCACCCGGCAGATGACGCGAAGTGTACCGACCGAAGAACAGACCGATCGAACGACCGACGTCCGAAGACTAGCAGCAGCGGCAACAGCAGCAGCGATGGAAGGGCAATGCTGCAGAAGGCGCTGGATCTCCTGGCGGAGTCGCGCAGGGAGACTAAAAGATTGCAGGAAGCGCTGAGAGAACAGATGGAAATGACCAAGGAACTGCAGGAAACTGTTGCAAAGCAGGGAGAGACGATGGACGAGATGAAAGAACAGATGACCGAAGAACTACAGCGGGTCCGCGAACAGCTCGAAACTATTGCGACGAGCACAACAGACGGACCACAACGATCATACGCTGACGTCACACGATCCTCGACATCCATGCCTTTGACCGATCCCAGAACCGCGACCTTGACCATTCCTCAGATCCCTATGGACACGCTCTACTGCACGATTGACACTTCGCGAATAGAAGATGAGAATGCCAGGCCCTCCGCAGGGTCGGTGAGAGCGACAGTGGAGAGCGAAGCTCGCACTGAACTGGATAATCCCACATGGCGATGTAGGGCCGTAACGAAGGACCCAAAGAACTCCCACCGGCGAATTCCGGCTATACTCAAATATGCCGACTCCGACACGCCACTACTGGTACATCCCCATGGACTACAATATGCACTGGTACTCTTGCTGGCCTGCAAAAAGCGTTGTGATCAACCGGAGATCTTCTAGCTATTTTGAAGGCTATGTAGACTCAGCATTTGCGCGCGGCCTGTGCTGGCACCTAGACAGACCCAACCTTCGAAGATTAGGCTTCCCCAGCTTGTCGTGGGCCGGGTGGATAGGGCCTCTAGCGTTATACGGCTGGGACTTTCTGTCCGACTTTGGCGACGCCGAGGTCAGAATCTGGCTTCAAAATGACGGCGGAACGGAGGAGAGGCTGGATGAGGAGGCTGTCGCCAAGATCGGCAATTGTGGACAGGTGGACAGCGGATACACCCCGGTTCTTCGTGTAGAGGCGTGGGTGGCTCACTTGAGCCTTACGTATTTCGCCGACGACCTGAGCAGCACCAAAGCGCATTGGCAGGAAAGAAACCCTGATCCACAGTACTTCATCACCGCTCAGACACCTGCGGCTCCCTAGCCGTGTGGCATCCGCGGCACTATGTACTGGCCCATCACGCTCTCGACGTCAGTGGGGGAGGACGACGAGCTACATCAGGAACTCTGCCGCGGAATTTTTACTTGCGTGCTCCTTGGGAGGCCATCTTCTCTCGGGCTTGTGGTGCGAGGAGAGGGGCAGAGTGTTATGAAGAGGTTGGGACATGTTAACAATAGGAGGTCATATTTTGAATCTGGAGCCCGTTTGATGCTGTGGAAGACGACAAAACTTATCGATATGAAGCCTTATTACACTTTTTGCCTTGAGTTAGGCGTACAATCCTTCTCAGGTGGATAGTATCTAGTACAGTGTTTGGCATAGGTCTCGATGGAACCATGTGTTGAGATATCATGAATATGAGGTTTTGTATACGTCATAACGGCTAAATAAATAGGCACGCAGGCGTCGGGCACTATATAAGCTGAGTAGGTGGTAAAGTCCGAGTAAAGTAATTGTTATGCTGATGTCAAAGCTCTTCAAAAGAACCAAATACTTGAGCGCTACAGGATTCGCCCAATCGAACCACAGCTAAATGAATGTTATGCACCGAGTACAACACGGCTCTTGCATAAGAATGTCTTAACCGGCGATCTGGTCTGTTTGTAGCACAGCTAGAATTCGCCAAGTAATTGATGAACGAGCATGATGACATGCTTAACATTGTTCCCCAATGTATCAATGATGCGTTTTGCACTCAGGCTGCGTCGCGGGGCCATGGTCCTCATACCAAAGGTGCTTCGATTTGAGTGAGTTGCAGCACGACATATGGTGGACGACAGATTACTCATTGTTGAGATGCACGCAAATATGGTGTGCCGGGTGGGCTATTGGGTAGATTGGAAGAGAGGCCATTATTACACTACTGTCCACAGCAGACATGCTTATCTCGTATGGAATCATAGAGCCGCAGCAGTTGTGTTAGTACATACATGTCAGAAGTGGAATACTGTGTGAGATTTGCCCGAGGCCGGCCAGCAGGCTCTCAATANTCTTCTTCCCTCATCATGACATCCGAACTAACGGCCTTCGAACCTGCTCCACCACCTGCTTCAGATTTGAGTAGAGACTTCAGCAGGCATTCATCGTTTCTCAGCGATGCCGGTATGTAATACTTGCAAATGCCGAGGAGTTGGCTACTCAGTTGCTTTTTGTGACTAAGGAGAAGCTTCCATATATAAAGTATGACATTTTCAATACGGTAGCGAAATCCTGCTGTTAGCAATTCTCATGCGCTCTGAAGTAACTGCTCGTATCTTCCACCTGACGAATATTTCGACCTCAGCCCCCTCCTCCAGAGCAGGCTTTCCCGCCTGGTGACACAATCCTAACATTTCGGCAGCGTTGCGAGCCATAAAACGGTCCAAGGCAGCTGACAACACCTAAACACAGGATCCTTGAATGCTGGCTGGATCTAAGTACTGAAGCCTCTCTTGAGCCTTTTCATTGGTGATGGATGGAATCAGACCACCGAAGCTGCAGCGCCAACGGTAATTTTCTGGAAAGATTCCAAGACCTCAGTTCATTTGATCTATCTTTTATCATATTCCTTTAGGAAGACATGACTTCCTCACCAAATAGCTTGAACCCGCTTATATAGCGGGGTAAAGGGTATACATCTAACTGCTCTGCTCTCGACAGTTCAATAAAAGCGCCTAAGAAACTGCAAACAGCTGTTACTGGTTATGCTTCTAATAATTGAAAGACAGTCAACTGCTATAACCTTTACCCCTACATCGTAAGATACCTTACTGACAACACGAAGTGGTGAAGTCAGTCTAGATGGCTACTTAGTCACATAAGAAGACGCACCTTGCATTGCGGCATTAGCAAGAGGGTAAGCAATAACTCCTTATATTATAAAGACTGCAGAAAAGAAAGCCGGTTTTGGCACCTAGACTTCAAAACATATTTTAATTAAAGCCCATCCTCATTCAGTAAGTTCTCTATAAATCCTTTCAGCTTTCTCGCTTAAGAAGAAGAAAGCGTTCTTTCGGAGAGACTGCTGCTCTTAAGGACCCATATAACACGCTCCCAGATACCTCCAAAGCCCCCGACGTTGAGCCATACGGGTTACTATTGGTCCCTTCAGCGAACGCTGGGGATGTTTTACTCTTCTATTTCCAAGGTCCTTTCTCCAAGTACTATGCTTCGACGACTAAAGAATTCTGGATCTTGACGAGGCTCACGTGCGGCTCTGAATGTATGCATTTTAGAAAAAGGAGCAGTACCTGGGTGATCGTTCCGGGCCTGCTGCGAAGCTCGGGTGGTGAGTTTTCGTAACCTAGGAGTATCTTCTCGAGTCAGGCTCGTCACGGTGGGATTTTCGGCCTCAATCTCGAGTAGCTCGAGTATGGAATTCACTGCAGCTGCCGTGATTGTACCTGTAGCTAGCTTACGCATTGTCTGCTGTATGGATTCCCCGGGGAACCCCATAGCTGTCAATTCCCTGGCGATTTCGCAGCTCCAACAAGCGGTCGAACGAGATACTAAGGTGATTTCGGAGGGTTTCCTGTCTTCTTGCTTATTAGATCCTGCGTGTAGTTTCTTCCTTGTCATTTTCTGCACTATGTCCACCCTCGCGTGTTTGCTGCCCGGCTCAGTTCTCGCATTAAGTGAGGTGCCTAGTGCCTTCAGCATGGGCTTCTCGTTCTGTAACAAAGACTTCGATCTTTTAATGGCTTCAAAGTGTCAAGTCGCTGAACAGAGATTGTATCGTCTCGCTAGGCCCACGAGCATCTGGATTGACTCTAGCCGCTTATTGGATCGAGTGGTTAGGTCGTGATGTGAACAAAATTGACGATGGAAATATAGTAGTTAAAAGAAGATAGAAGGCATGAATTAAGATTAAAATAGAATTGATACTTGCTCGTGATTCGATTCCGCCTTGGACTATAGTTCTGCATACTTCTTTTATACTTGTCTATTGTGGTTGACCTTTGGGAGATTTCAATTGCCATTTTTTTATCGACACTCGAGTTTAATAATGGTATTCAGGATTCTGCCAATCCGATCCCTACTTGCAATGCTGATAATATGTCTTCATATACCACCATAAAATCCTGACATGACTTCTTTAATTGCTTATCGGGAAATAAAGGTGAGTCGGATTCTAGAGTCCGATCAATGTCTCTTGTAATCTTTTCAATATCGTCGACTGCAGCAATTGTCTTTCGTGCCGCAATCCCTAGAACATCCATCTTGTTGAGAGCTTTTACGGCTTCTCTATACTCATACCTACATCGCGGGGGAACGTTTTTTGTCCTTGGCGGAGTCTGAGACATCCTGGCACTGTGGGTTGTCAGTTAGATCTCAGGAGCGGAGGGTGCATGCGATCTTACACTAAAAGAAGAAATAGACTCAGACATGTTACCTGCATCCGTAGATCTGGCATTAAATCAGATGGATCTTGTTTCAGAAGGGCTGCGAAGTTGATAGGTTGAATCGACAGGTTTAGAGGTTGAAATGGGTATATGCTTGTCAGCCTTAGCTTCTTGCTTAAGCTAGTGGTTGGGGAAGAGGCGCCTGATGCCCTTTTTCGAGATGAAGTCATTATCGCCATTACACATGTGCAGATATTGAGGATGCCATCCATTCTACTTGATGGTGCGTTCAATCGTTACTTATAATTCATACCCTTACTTCAAGATGAACCAGCTGCTGATGGTTGCACGCGTAGGCCATTTCAATACCCTACACTTTCGTCCCGATAGATATCGGCGCAAGGCAGACTAGCGGGATCTTATTGGACCGTAGCAACATCTTGTTTGAGGATGGAAGATCAGGAAGAAGAAAATACGGAATTTACTGGGGCTTATTGGATGGAATCTAGAATTCCAAGTAAGCACTTAGATCTTGGGTGGGCAGTCTACTCAGGTGGCGCTCAACATGGATGTTTCGGAGATTGATAAGACATTCCCGTGTTAGATTATGGTGTTGGAACGATTACAGCAAATGACAGGTGCAGCAGATGCACTGTGTGCTGTCATTGCAGACGCAGTAGCATGCAAACCTCGGGTTTTATCCCCAATTTGTCGATCTTGAAACGTGGTCAGATCTGTTTTAGATTAACGATTAGTGAACATTACCAGAGATCTGAGATCGAGGAATCCCCACCGACATGCCACGGAACCCAGCAACCAGTTCTCGGGGAGAAAAAAAATACGACCCCAACTAAACCAATATTCGCTAGCGATCCACCTATCTGCTGGCCGTTTTTTATTTCTCACCATGATTAACCAAGACGCGGCACACCAAATCGATTGAGATGTATATTGAGCTGGTAAATTACTGTAAATGCGACTTTATGAGATGGATCGCTCAAACTACGACCATACCAGGCAGTATATTTACCGATTAGGACATGGCGTTAAAAGTGTTCAATTGCAACAAGACTGAGTCTGAGGGACTGGGAATATAAGCGTAGCCGTAAGCGGAAACGGGCTTAGGGCGTGGCGCTGTGAGTGTGAGACACGGCTTAGCCGTGATACAGGGGTCTTCATTCTTAGTACCCTTATTCCCTCCAATGGCTGGTGGTGTGGACAGTTATACCAACTAGGATCTCTCGAAGTAAGCAGTTGCCGATCCCAATGGTGTCGTCAGAAGGATGGTCTGAAAAACAAACCGGTCTGGAACCAATCGTCTAGCATTCTGCCGATATCTACCGGATATGCCAATACCAAA